TTCATCGATTTGCTCAAGCGGGCCCAGTAACGCCTCCATCATTCAATTGTTTTTATAAACTTTATTATGTTTTACGAGCTTTTTAACACTGTGGAATGTAAAAACTAAAAGTGCTGTATTAAAAGTGGCATTTAAACCTCATTTAAAAAAAGGGAAAAAAATACAAGAGTCATATATTGGTGGAGGGAAAACAAAACCTGTGCCAAAGAAAACATGAAATGTTATTTCTGTATTTCTAACCTATTGTGATTTATTTCTTTTATTTCTGTGTATTTAAGTGACCAGATAGTTAGCAGACCAAAGGGAGGGTGAAATTGTGATTAAACTTTCTTAACTCTGGGGCCAGAAAGATAGTACAACATGAATAAATAGCAGTACTCCTACATTAAAAGAAAGAAGAAAGAAAGAAAGAAAGAAAGAAAGAAAGAAAGAAAGAAAGATAGTATAGCAGGTAAGGTAGGTGCCTGATTTCGCCGGGCTGCCTACCCAGGTTCAATCCTCAGCACCTCATATTGTCTGCTGAGCCCAGCAGGAGTGAGCCCTGAGTCGAGCCTGATGTGGTCCCAAACCAAAAAACTTTCTTTACTTTAATCAAAGCCTTTGATGTTGCTCTTCAAAAATAAGTATAGTATTGCCTTTGTTCTCAACATTCAGTAAACCATCTTATGCAACTATGTTTGAAAGAATATTTTGATGATTGCTTCCTAATCTATGAGATTGTTACTGACTGTTATGAGATACAACCCACGTGCTTTGCTTCTAATGATTTGTCTTTCTCAGGAGACAGCTCTCTGACTGTGCCACAGGTAGGGAAGACTGGACTATGCAAAAGCTCACAAACATTCTTAAACTAAATCCTGTAGGGGAAACAGCATCTACAACAGTGTTTGTCAGGAAATAAGCCAGATGGCAAGAGAATTTAAATTCTTTTTTTTTCCCCTTTATTTTATTTTATTTTAAAGTTGTAGATTTACAATTTTTTGTGCTTTGGTTTCAATTATACAATGATCAGATACCCATCCCTCCACCAGTGCCCATTTTCCACCACCATGGATAATATCCCTCCCACCCCCATCCCCCCACCCCCCCTGTCTCTGTGGCAGGGCAATCCCCTGTGTTCTCTCTCTCCTTTTGGGTGTTGTGGTCTGCAAAAGAGGCATTGAGTGGCAAACATGTTCAGTCCATAGTCTACTTTCGACATGCATCTCCCCTCCTGGGAGGATCCTCCAAACATCCTTTATTTGGTGCTCCCTTCTCTATCTGAACTGCCCTTTCCTCTAGGATACCCGGCTGGCCTCTAAGTTATGCAGTAATCCTCCTGGTGCTGATCTCAGCTATTCTTGGGTATTAATCTCATACTTTGTTACTTTATATCCCCCAGATGAATGCAATCTTTCTATGTCTATCCCTCTCTTTCTGACTCATTTCGCTTAGCATGATACTTTCCATATTGTACCACTTGTATGTAAATTTCATGACTTCATCTTTTCTAACAGCTACATAGTACTCCATTGTGTAGATGTACCAAAGTTTCTTTAACCAGTCATCTGTTCTTGGGCATTCAGGTGAGAATTTAAATTCTTAAGGAGAAATGTTCACTTAGTTTAGAGCAGGGAACCTATCAATTTTTTTTCAAAGGATTAAATAGCTATTTTGAGCCTCAGAGGTCCAATAGTTCAAATAGATATTTTGAGCCATATGATGTCTGCCATCATCCCTCAATTCTGCTGTTATAAAAACAGCCACAGATGATATGCAAACAAGTGAGTACAGCTGCATTCCAATGAAACTTTATTTTCTAAGCACAGCAGGCTGGATCTGGCCTCTGGGCAGTCATTTGCAACTCTGCTCTAAGGTGAAGGTTTTCAAACTCTTAGGTGTATTTTAGGCTCTCCCATGGAACTGGTTTTAACAGTACCTTATATTGAAAGTATACCTCTACAGAATCAAATCTCTGGATATGGCCTGGAAATCAGCAATTTAGATATTCACCAAGGACAGATGAACCACACTTTTACTGTCTGCAGCTGAGGGGCCCCCACTGTTCTAATTGTGGGTCAGGACTTCCTGCATCCTGGGATCCTAAAAGCACAGGAACTGGTTTGTTGTTCTTTGACCTTTTCCATGAAGGGCAATTGAACATAGGCTAATTTTTATTTTTGCCTCCAATCTTAACAGTGCATACAATAATCCTGCTTTAGGTATGATGAACATAAAATGTAAGTTGTGAATTTAAAAGAAAATCCTCAACTTAAAATAACAAGTCTCCAACTCTAAATCTATGAAATTCTTAAACCTGCACATTGAATAGAGATCTCTAAGGCTGAGGAAATAGTTGACTGTATTTCCTTTCCTTCAGAACAACTCCAGCAAAGCCCTGTCCTACTATCTGGAATTTCACTACTAACAGGTCATTGCTTTGTGACTCCACAAAACCTCATTCAAACTCACATATAAATAGAAAGTAGAAAATTGCTGTAGATTTTTGGGGGTGGCTCATATAAATTTATTAAGAATAAATTAATAGCTGGAGAAACAGTACAATAGAAAAGGCAATTTTCTTGCACATGGTCGATGAGGGTTCAATCCCTGGAACCGCATACAGTCCCCTGAGCCTGACAGAAGTGATTCTTTTTTTTTTTTTTTTTTTTTAGTCACCATATGTTTTTTTTTTTCTTTTTTTTTTCCCCTTTATTTTATTTTATTTTTTTTAAAGTTGTAGATTTACAATTTTTTGTGCTTTGGTTTCAATTATACAATGATCAGATACCCATCCCTCCACCAGTGCCCATTTTCCACCACCATGGATAATATCCCTCCCACCCCCATCCCCCCATCCCCCCGTCTCTGTGGCAGGGCAATCCCCTGTGTTCTCTCTCTCCTTTTGGGTGTTGTGGTCTGCAAAAGAGGCATTGAGTGGCAAACATGTTCAGTCCATAGTCTACTTTCGACATGCATCTCCCCTCCTGGGAGGATCCTCCAAACATCCTTTATTTGGTGCTCCCTTCTCTATCTGAACTGCCCTTTCCTCTAGGATACCCGGCTGGCCTCTAAGTTATGGAGTAATCCTCCTGGTGCTGATCTCAGCTATTCTTGGGTATTAATCTCATACTTTGTTACTTTATATCCCCCAGATGAATGCAATCTTTCTATGTCTATCCCTCTCTTTCTGACTCATTTCGCTTAGCATGATACTTTCCATATTGTACCACTTGTATGTAAATTTCATGACTTCATCTTTTCTAAGAGCTACATAGTACTCCATTGTGTAGATGTACCAAAGTTTCTTTAACCAGTCATCTGTTCTTGGGCATTCAGGTTTCTTCCAGTTTCTGGCTATTGTAAAGAGGGCTGCAATGAACAAACAAGTGCAGATGTCACTTCGACTATACATTTTTGCCTCTCTGGGATATATTCCCAGGAGTGGTATTGCTGGGTCAAATGGGAGCTCAATTTCTAATTTTTTGAGAATCGTCCATACTGTTTTCCAGAAGGGCTGAACCAGTGGACATTCCCACCAACAGTGAAGGAGTGTCCCTTTCTCGCCACATCCACGCCAGCATCGGTTGCTTTTGTTCTTTTGAATGTGGGCCAGTCTCTGAGGTGTGAGATGGTATCTCATTGTGGTTTTGATCTGCATCTCCCTGATGATTAATGATGTAGAGCATTTTCTCATGTGCTTTTTTGCCATTCGGATTTCTTCTTTGAGAAAGTTTCTGTTCATTTCATTGCCCCATTTTTGGATGGGGTTGGATGTTTTCTTCTTGTGGAGTTTAACCAGTATTTTGTATATCCTGGATATCAACCCCTTGTCAGATGTGTATTCGGTGAATATCCTTTCCCATTCTGTAGACTGTCTTTGTATTTTGGTCACTTTTTCTTTGGAGGTGCAGAAGCTTCTTAGTTTAAGATAGTCCCATTTATCTATCTCTGTTTTCACTTGCTCGGCCAGTGGCGTGGCATCTTTGAAGATACCATTAGCTTCAATGTCATGGAGGGTTTTGCCAACTTTATCTTCAATGTACCTTATGGTTTCTGGTCTGATGTTGAGGTCTTTAATCCATTTTGATCTTACTTTTGTACATGGTGTTAGGCAGAGTTCTGAGCCTATTTTTTTGCATGTAGCCGTCCAGTGATGCCAACACAATTTATTAAAGAGGCTTTCCTTACTCCACTTCACATTACTTGCACCTTTATCAAAGATTAGATGAGCATATGATTGAGGAGAGATGTCAGTGTATTCAACCCTGTTCCATTGGTCTGCAGTTCTGCCTTTGTTCCAGTACCATGCTGTTTTAATTATTACTGCTTTGTAGTACAGTTTGAAGTTCGGGAGGTTGATTCCTCCCATTTTCTTTTTCCCAAGAATTGCTTTAGCTATTCGTGGGGGCTTATTGTTCCATATAAATTTCAAGAGTGTTTGCTCCATTTCTTTGAAGAATGTCATGGGTATCCTTATAGGGATTGCATTGAATTTATACAATGATTTCGGTAGTATTGCCATTTTGACAATGTTAAGTCTCCCGACCCATGAGCAGGGGATATCTTTCCATTTCCTCATGTCCTCTTTTATTTCCTGAAGTAGCGTTTTGTAGTTTTCTTTGTACAGGTCCTTTAAGAAGTGATTCTTGATTGCAGAGCCAGGAGCAAGTCCTGAGCACTGCTGGGTGTGGGGATGGAAGTATGGATGGAAGGGAGGGAGGGAAGAAGGAATGGGAGAGAAAGGTAAGGAAAATGGAAAAAAGAGAGGAGAGAAAGACAGAGAGACAAAAAAGAAAGGACACACAAAGAAACTGACCCATTAAGTTCAGTGCTGTCTCAAAGAATGTGTTTTTCTGACAGGGTTGTCATTTTTATTTATTTGTCTCTTTACACATTTGTTTTGGTTTTGCTTCTCAACTGTACATTAGGTATTCTGGTTACCATGTGTAAATGCTCGATGTACAAGGTTGCTGCACTGTGACCAGCACCAGAGTGTCAAGACAGCATCATAGTCCACCTCTTCCTTTCCCTCCCTGACTCAGCACCAGGGGTTCATTAAACCAAATTTTGCAACCCAAGGCCAATGGTTGATTTCTCTGCACACTGCAGTTGGGTGAGATCATCATTGGGCATCATTTTAGTCAGTAGAAATCGATTCCTGGTCCACGAGGAAGCAATGCTTAGCTGGAAATCAGCACGACCTCTTCTTCAGCTCTCCAGATTTTCCTAGAAAGGACAGTGAATATCCTACAGTCAAAAGGATGTGCTTCGTGAGCTCTCTAAAGAAACCAGGGCCAATCTGCAGATTCCTTTAGGGAGTGCAGCTCCGCTAAGACCCCCACTGCCCCTGCCCTGGGAGACGAGTGCAGTTCTAGTATTAAAGCATGGGTTTCAAATGAGAGGTCATTTGTCAGTATCCTTACAGTAGATAGCACTGTTTTTCCCTGTGCATAATAGTAGAATGGTTCTGACCTTCCTCAACACATAAAGACAAAAGTGAAGAAAGACCCAGAATTTTACCAGGCAAACAGAATGAAGTCAAGATGAGATTAGAACTCCATTGCTAATATACTTCAGAGATTATTTGTCAGAGGTACAAATTAGTTTTACAAAACTGGCAATCAACATTTCAGGTGGCCTGACTCTGAGTTCCAATCAATCTATAGCCTAAACTTCTGACTGTTTCCTTCATCCATGGCAAGAAATTCCAGCATTTTCAATAGAGTATGGAGGACTGTTTTCCTGCTTGAATTCTAACTTGCAAAAAGAGCCATGATTAGTAGACTCAAGTATGAACCTCAAAATAGGACAAATAATGAACAAAGTCAGGGGCCCCTGCATACTTACCCAGCCTCCCTGGCCTTGGATGTACTCCTGGAGGCCATGATCAATCATATTTGTCATGGAGGTAGCCAGTTGCCTTGATATTTGAGGAGCTTTACGGACCACATATTCCAGGAGTTTCACTGACACTGCCAGGAAAGCTCTTTCATAAACTAAGCTAGGATCCTGAGCACACCAGGTCTTGCTGAGAGATTCCACTACTTCCTGGAATTTAGTTCCTGCCTGGGGAGAGACATCAGCTATATCAGTGGAGTATCAGTAAAAAACAATAAAACAAAAAAAAATCACACAGGATACTATAATGACAGGAATCCAGAAAGCAAGTGTTCCCCAAGAACAGAAAATGTACCTGTCACTGGCTGTATCTCAGACAATCTTTGGCAACATTTTTAAAAGGGGACTGGGCCACATGCAGTGGTGCTCCTGGGCCAGTGCTGGCTCTGAGCTCAGAAATCAATTCTGGTGGTGCTGGAGATTCAAACTGAGGCAGGGGATCAGCTGTGTACAAGGCAAGTGCCTACCCTGTACTGACTTTCTGGCCCTATTTTATTATTATAATGGGTATTAGAAAAAACTTGTACTCATCAAATCTGTGATCTCAGACACCATTGATTATGATGAACAAAATGAAAGAAAAATAAGATGACTTAACAAAAACTATGAAGGACATGATAGGGGAAAAATGTCAATTTGTGAAGGTATTGCCTAAGTAACCAAAGTCTGGGACACTCTGAGCTGAAAAGATAGATTAATTTCTTCTCTTCATCTTTCTTTCCCCAAAACTTTGGTCTACAAACTATAAAATAGGGCTAAGAAAGATCTGCCGTGACTGGTGAAGGGACGGGTATTGGAATATTATATGACTGAAACCCAATTATGAACAACTTTGTAACTGTGTATATCACTGTGATTCAATGAAAAAAATTTTAAGATAGAAATACTGCTAGTAATAAACATTACAACAATCCATTAAAAAATCTGCTGTGATGTAGTGTAGGGGCTCATAATGGTGAGTGGTCAGGGAAGAATTTAGAATCAGGCTCAAATTCTAACATTACCGAGTAATCAAATTACTTTGCTTCCCACTTCCTCAGTTTCCTTATCCACTTATGTAGATGTTAAATCAGTAAATACTGAGGATTTACTTTGTACCAGGCACAGTTCTAAGCTGTATTAATATAACAGTGAACCAAAACTGGCTAAGTGTTTGCTCTTAATGCTATATATATAGAAGGGGGCCAAGAGATAGTACAGTGGATAAGGTGCTTGCCTTGCGCGTGGCTGACCTGGATTCTATCACCAGCACCCCATATAGTCTCCTGAGCCTGACAGGAGTGATCCCTGAGGAGTAAAGCCTGAGCACAGTCCAGTGTGGTCCCAAAACAAAATAAAAACCAGTGTTATATGTAGCTGAGGAGAGATTGCACTATAAAGTTTAAATGTAAGAATCAAATGTGAGGGTCATAGCGGTAGTACTTGGGTTGGGCATTTGCCTTGCATATGGCCAATCAGGTTCCATCCCCAGTATCCCATTCGGTCCCCTGAGCACCGCTCAGGAGTAATTCCTGAGTATAGAGCCAGGAGGAACCCCTGAGCATCGCTGGGTGTGACCCAAAAAGCCAAAAAAATAAAAATCAATTTAAAAAAATCAAATGTGATCAGGGGTATAAAGCACTTAGAATACTATCTGGCACATAGTGACATATTGATTTTTGCTGTGAGTACATTATCAGCAACATCTAGAACATTTTCTGTGGTTTTATGTCCAGTAAAAATCCAAATACTGTTGCCAACGATCAACATTCTGATGAAAAGCCAGATATGTACTAGTGAGCTGCTTAAGAACTTATTCCTCTTTGCATCAGAGCCGCAACAGCATATCCTCCTTCCTGTTTGTATATTCATTACTGACCCTTGGGGGACACAGTGATGCCCACCCCCAGAAAAGTAAGTACTGGTATCACATAAGCAATCACATAAGAGAATAAATTGCTTTAGCAAGAATAGGTACAAAATATCTATAGTTCCACAACTGTTTCAAACCTCTGCTGTTTGGACTTTTAAATTGAATTTAGTGCTCTATACAGTAGGAAAATTGTTAAATAGAAAATCATTTACACAAACCAGATACTTTTAAAATGAAACATTAAAAAAATCTAGAAAAATTGCTTTTACTTTTTGAATTATTTAATACAATTTCATTTTGGTTCAACAGTAGCAACAAAGAGAGGTCAGTGCAATAGTACAGTGGGTAGGGCACTGGTCTTACATGTGACAGACCCAGGTTCAATCTGTGGCATCTCATATGGTTCCCCACCACCCCTCTAGGAGTAATCCCTGACCACAGAGCCAAGAGTAAGCCCTGAGACTGCCGAGTCTAGCCCCCAAATCAAAACCAACACAAAAACAAAAAACAAATCAAGTGCTATATGTATGCCCTATGCCACTAATTATAGTGCTGCTAAAACTCAAATGGAAAGAAACTGAAGGTTGAATAGCATATGCCAAAAGCTTACCATCTCAATACCACTTGGGTTTTGATTAACACCTAAAGAATTGGCAGTTGGAGAGAATTCCTGTGGTATCTCATTGGATGAATATAAGCCCCTAAGTGTTTTAACGTTTCCAGTGATCATAAAGGAGTAATAAGAAAAAGTATCTCTGAAATAGGAATAGTGGGGGGTAGAAAGTAAGTAGATACGTGACCTCCTGTCTTAGACTGGTTTCTGCAATACTTCGGGCAGAAGCTTCCAAATCCCCATTGAACTTGTCGCCCAGTTCCCGAAGGCGACCGGCAATGATGGCCACATCAAAAGAGTGAGCACCTCCTAGGACAGAGGGAACACAGATCGTACGTGTCACAATGCTGGACTAGATGCAGTCTGCGCATTGGAGAAGGTTCTTTAGACTTTGAGACAATGTTGGTGTCATTCTTTCCCAAGTATGTCTTCAGTGTTCTGGCAGCCCCATTAGAAAATTTTTTCATCATAGAGATTCTTTCCATTCCACGAAGATTTTCTTTTGTTTTGTTTTTTTGTTTTTTAATTTTTATTAGTGAAACACCATGAGGTACAGTTGTAGACTTACAAATTTTTGTGCTTGGGTTTCAGTTATACAATGATCAAGTACCCATCCCTCCACCAGTGCCCATTCTCCACCACCACGGGTCCCAGTATCCCTCCCACCTCCATCCCCCCATCCCACCCTGCCTCTGTGGCAGGGCATTCTCTTTTGTTCTCTCTCCTTTTGATTTTTTTCCTTTTGATTTTTTTAAGGGGGGGAGGGTATATTGCTGAAAGCTTTCTTACCCCCTTTTTTTTAATTAGTGAATCACCTTGGGGTACAGTTAGACTTACAAACTTTCGTGCTTGCGTTTCAGTCATACAATGATCGAGTATCCATCCTTCTACCAGTGCCCATTCTCTACCACCAATGATCCCAGTATCCCCTTCCCCCCACCTCTCCCCCCCACCCTCTGAGGCAGGGCATTCCCTTTTGTTCTCTTTAATTTTGGGTGTTGTAGAGGCATTGAGTGGCCATTGTGTTCAATCTATAGTCTACATTCAGCTTGCATCTCCCAACTTGAGCTGGTCCTCCAAATACCCTTTACTTAGTGTTCCCTTCTCTACCTGAGCTACCCTTTCCCCGAGCATGAGGCCGGCTTCCATACCATGGAGTAAACCTCCTGGTCCTTATCTCTACTATTCTTCGGTGTCAGTCTCCCATTATGTTACTTTATATACCACAGATGAGTGCAATCTTTCTATGTCTCTCCCTCTCCTTCTGACTCATTTCACTTAACATGATACCTTCCATGTTGATCCATTTATACCAAATTTCATTACTTCATCTTCCCTAACAGCTGCATTGTATTCCATTGTGTAAATGTACCAAAGTTTCTTTAACCAGTGATCTGTTCTTGGGCACTCAGGCTTTTTCCAGATTTTGGCTATTGTAAACAGTGCAGCAATGAACATACAAGTGCAGATGTCATTTCAACTATACTCTTTTGCCTCTCCAGGATATATTCCCAAAAGTGGTATAGCTAGGCCACACCACTGGCCAAGCAAGTGGAAACAGAGATAAACAAATGGGACTATCTTAAACTAAGAAGCTTCTGCACTTCAAAAGAAACAGTGACCTTGAAAGTAGACTATAGACCAAACATGATTGTCACCCATTGCCTCTTTTGCAAACCACAACACCCAATAAGAGAGAGATAACAAAAGGGAATGCCCTGCCACAGAGGCAGGGTGGGATGGGGGGATGGGGGATTAGAGGAATACTGGAATCCGTGGTGGTGGGAAATGGGCACTAGTGGAGGGATGGGTATTTGATCATTGTATAACTGAAACCCAAGCACAAAAATCTGTAAGTCTACAACTGTACCTCATGATGTCTCACTAATAAAAATTAAAAAATAAATTAATTAAAAAAAAACAGTAACCAAAATATGAAGACAGTCAACAGAATGGGAAAGGATATTTACCCAATACTCATCAGATAAGGGGTTGATATAAAGGACATACAAGGCACTAGTTGAACTCTACAAAAAGGAAACTTCCAACCCCATCAGAAAATGGGGTGGTGAAATGAACAGAAACTTCCTCAAAGAAGATATCCGAATGGCCAAGAGACACATGAAAAAATGTTCTTCATCACTAATCATCAGGGAGATGCAGATCAAAACAACAACGAGGTATCATTTTACACCACAAAGATTGGCCCACATCCAAAAGAACAAAAGCAAATGATGTTGGCACGGATGTGGGGAGAAAGGGACTCTTCTTCACTGCTGGTGGGAATGCCGATTCATTCAGCCCTTTTGGAAAACAGTATGGACGATTCTCAAAAAATTAGAAATTGAGCTCCCATTTGATTTAGCTACCTTCTGAACTGTGAATGAAAATTAGAAAACATATTCAGATTCTTTCATTGACTTGTAATCACCACCGCAGTTCGGGAAACTTACCTGAATCTGTTTCATCTCCAAAAGACATTCGATTAGCAGCACACTGCACTCCGCTGAATTCTTGGAGCAGAAAGTTTACAATGCATTCTGTTTGTTCCTTAAAAGATGGGTGATTCTTCATTTCAAATGCTTGGCTTTGCTTTTGCACAAAACAATGTTTTCAGTTCAACAGGAAGTCAAAAACACTGGTAGACCAGCAGAGGTGTCCACCTTTTGTAATGTGCCTTAATGGAACAGACAATTCTTGAGCGTTTTCCACCCCTTTCTTGAAAAACAGCTACATGAAAGGTAGAACTTCTCTGAAAGAGCTCATCTACACTAGACTTGTAGGAGACTTTCAGTTCCTTATCTCTGAGCCACACCCTAGTCAGTATTTAAGTCAATGAATAACTTTTATAAGTTGGACTGTCTAGAATAGAGGAAGAATATCTTGGGTAATTTTGTTAAGAAATAACTTCCTGGTTGGAGAGGTAGCTCAACGAACTAAGGGCATGTTCTTCAGGAAGGAGGTCTAGTTTCTATCCATGCACTGTACCCTAAGTTTTGCCAGGAGTGACCCTCAAGCACAGAACAAGCCAGAAGCAGCCCTTCCTCCATGGCAGTGCTTAGGGATGGCCCACAAATAAAATAATAAAACAAAACAAAACAAAAAATGCTTCCTGTTGGGTTCTGTGTATGGTGCAATTTTTTAAAAAAGGAAGGTTTTGACATTTTCTAAAGAGAGATATTGAACTCCTGATGATGACATTTATTTGCCATAATCATTTAGTGAATAGTGACTAAATACCTATGCATAAGAATTATATGCAGCAGTATAAATAATAGAAAAAGTCCACGGACACAGTTCCTGCCCTCAAGAATAACAGTGAAAATATCTAATCACCTTATTTTTAGTGCTGATTGAGAGAAAATGGGTGATCACAGTGTGTAGTGGAAAAGCAAACCTAGGGCTTTAGGAAGTTTTCTGTGAAATAGTAACATCTGACAGGGGCACTGAAGGGCTTCAGGAGGTAATAAGCGAACAAGGTCATTCCAGGTGGAGGGGAGGAGGAGGCAAATAAAAGTGAGGTAAACAGTGACACAGAATCTCTGGGCATTTGAGGATATTACACAGGGATAACAAAAAGTACTTTCATACAAGAAAATTATGAAATAAATTAAGATAATTAATTAATTAAGATAATTAGTTAATTAATTTCAGGGGCAGCAGAGTTAGTACAGGGCTTAAGTTCTTATCTTGCACATGGCAGACATGGTTCAATTGCGGACACTGCTTATGGTCCCCAGAAGATGCTCCCTGAATTCAGAGACAAGAGTAAGCCCTGAGCACCACCAAGGTTTGGCCCCCAAACCTGAAAAAAAAAAAGATAATGCTCTGTGTAATGAGCCAGCAGTAGCTCAGTTGCAATAAATACTAAGTGTCTTTCAGTTCAAGGTCTAATGACCAGGATAAAATTTCATTTTTTCATTTCATCATCCTGTTATTCGTCGATTGCCTCGAGCAGACCCCAGTAATGTCTCTTTCATCCTAGCCCTGAAATTATATTCAAGGCTCTTTAGGAGAATGAGACCCATCATTGTTACTGGTATTTGGCATATTTGGTACGCCACGGGAAGTTTGCCAGACTCTGCCCTGTGGGCAGGCTACATTCGATAGCCTGCAAGTTTGTCCAAAGTAGGAATGAGATAATAAGATGTCATAAAAAGATGTCCTGATAAGATGTCGCGCAGCCGCATTCGCGGTTCTGGGAGCTGGATTTTATAGTCTCTGAGTCTTGGCCGTTGATGGGATTACACGGCGCCAGAGGGTCAGGTGGTGGGTGTGACCCCCGCCTACTGGAATTTGGAGGATCTGGGTGGAGGATGCTCGACTCCAATCCGAGTAGGCTTGGAGATCTCGGCCCCGGAACCCACGTGGATTTGTCCCTCTGCCAGTACCTTCATGTGTGCGGAGAGTGGTCTCAGCATGGTGGTGGCTGGTCCTGGAGGTCTTCGGCTGCCAGAGCCCTGGTCGGGGCGGGGAGGAAAGCTCAACCCGCTCCCCTCCATCTTATGGACCATCTTATGGTCCCCAGAAGATGCTCCCTGAATTCAGAGACAAGAGTAAGCCCTGAGCACCACCAAGGTTTGGCCCCCAAACCTGAAAAAAAAAAGATAATGCTCTGTGTAATGAGCCAGCAGTAGCTCAGTTGCAATAAATACTAAGTGTCTTTCAGTTCAAGGTCTAATGACCAGGATAAAATTTCATTTTTTCATTTCATCATCCTGTTATTTGTCGATTGCCTCGAGCAGGCCCCAGTAACGTCTCTTTCATCCTAGCCCTGAAATTATATTAAAGGCTCTTTAGGAGAATGAGACCCATCATTGTTACTGGTCCCCAGAAGATGCTCCCTGAATTCAGAGACAAGAGTAAGCCCTGAGCACCACCAAGGTTTGGCCCCCAAACCTGGAAAAAAAAAAAGATAATGCTCTGTGTAATGAGCCAGCAGTAGCTCAGTTGCAATAAATACTAAGTGTCTTTCAGTTCAAGGTCTAATGACCAGGATAAAAATAACCTGGAATTTCCATCAGTACTTTTCTAACAGGGTGAGCTTCCTGATGGTTTTACCAGATCTCAGAAGTGGACACTAACTCTTCAGCATGACAGCTTTGTTAATGTAAAGACACCTAGATTTGGGGCTTGGGTTTCAGAAGGAGCACTCAAAACTCTCAATCTTTCGAGGATAGTCTTACTAGGAAGTGCGCTCATAAGAAATAATGCATAAATAGCAAGTCAGTTGTTCAGAAATGAATTTCAATTGCAAAATAATTAAAACCAATATTCAGTCCATTATATGAAAAGAAATAATAACTTGCTTTTGAACTAATGATAGGAATTATGTAGCTAAGGGCCGTTTTCACTGTCTTTGTTTATCACCTCTGTTAGAACATCTGTTACTGTTGCGAAGACTTTGGGCTTTTTTTTTTAAACAATTTTTATACACTTTATTTTCATAAAGTAGTTCACAATAGTTCATTACAGATAATATTCAAACACCAATCCCACCACCGATAACCTTCCCACCACAATAAGAAGGAAGTGTGTGAAGGTTGTTGTATTTCATTTGGGGGCCATTTATGTCCATATATAAGAGAATACAAGCAAGTATGTTAAAATCAAACAAACGTGTGCTATTTTTGGTACATAAGTGGGCTAGAGTATAAGAGGTCACACAGCTGCATTTGCAGCTGTGCACTCCAGGAAATTCTGTCTTTCTCTTCCAGGAGCCTTAGTTAATAGTCTCTGGTTCTTAGCCATTGATTACATGGCGCAGGGGGCAGTTTGTGGGTGTGCCAAGCTACTGGAAAACTGGGGACCTGTGGGGGGGGAGTCCCAGTCCCGATCTGAGCGGGCTTGGAGGCCTGTCATGGGGCCCACATACCTGGGTTTTCTGCTATTTCCCACTTGGGTGAGGTTTATCCGAGTGTGTGGAGGGTGGCCTTGAGAATGGTGGCAGTTGGGTTCTGGAGATTTTTGGCGGCCGGGGTTCTGCTTGGGGCAGGGAGGGAAACTCAACCCACCTCCTCTGAGGTGCCCCGGTGAAGACAGCTGGGCACGGGGTCAGGATATTCTACCTGTGTAAACTCACACAAAAGGGGGGGCACAGCACACACACAGCGGCGGTGGCTCTATCTCTCCCGCCGCCCGCATTCGGTAGTCTCACCCTTCTCCCACCCCGGAGAGATCGATGGCGATGGTCAGGTGGAGGAAGGACAAAGCAATGTTACCCTACATCTCCCCCTTTTCTGTTTACAAAACACAACATTTTGAAATAGAAAGAGTAACAATTACAAACACAAAAGTCTCATTTGTTGGACTTCAGTTCACCCCTGAACCCAGAGCAGTGCTTGTTGTAAAGTGTCCAATTGTCCTGCACTGTTCAAGGGTGATCAGAGTCATTTAGTCACATTTTGAAGAAATGGAGAGTCTGGATCACAATTTGAAGAGTTGTTTCTGCAACAGCAACAGTATTAACCTAAAATATTTGGAACTATATTCCAACACTACCAACTGTAGGTCTCTAATAGCAGAAGGTCCTACATAGAGAATTTTAAGCCAATCTCCTTTCTGCTAGAATGAATCACTGCTCATTTAATGATTCCAAAAAATACATTTATAAAATATACTTTTATACCTAGGAGCCAAAATGACAGTACAATGAGAATGGCGCTAGCCTTGCACAGATCTAACCTGGTTTGATTCCCACCCCTCCATGTGGTCCCCAGAGCAGCACCTGGAGAGATCCTTGAGTGCAGAGCCAGGAATAAGCCCTGAGAACTGACAGGTTTGGCCCCAAAATAAAACAAAAATTTATGATTCATTTAACATATTTATGTTGTTGTGGAAAAGTCTTAGATTGATTGAATTTTGAGTTCCATCTGCAAGCCATATACTGCCCCCAGACCCCACAGCTCCACCTGCCCTAGTCTATGGCAACAAACTTAAGCTCAAGAGCTTTGCAAAGGCTGGTTTCCACCACGCTGTCAGGTACTGCTACTGGCACTCTATCTGGGGTGCTCACTGCACGACTCTGAAAGTGCAGCCTTTACTCCACCCCGGGGTGAGGGGGGGCATTTCTGGTTTGATTTTAATACTCCGCCCTGGGGTGGGGGGGCATTTCTGGTTTTATTTGGGGGCATCACCTGGCAGGGCTCAGGGGTTACTCTGCCTCAGTGCTTGGGGTGACCTCCAGTTCTGCTCAGGGAACTGGACGGTGCCAGGATTCAAACATGGCCTCCTGCATGCAAAGCTTGGGTCCAACCCTCTGGGCCATCTCCCTGGCCCTGCTCATGTTCTTCTTTAGGGCATGAATGTCCTCTCTTTTTAGCTCTCTCTCTCTCTTGCTCTCTCTCTCTCGCTCGCTCTCTCTCTGCACATTTCCCTTAAAATATTATTATCCTTCCCCAATAAAGCTGGTTTACTTCACTGGAGAGGAAAAAAAAAAAGCTCCACTGTCATTGCACATGCCACCTACAACTCACCGAGACACACACAAGACAGTACAATGATCCTCCTGCATTTCCAGGATAAGCATCTAGTCATGTCACAGCTTTAAACCAGCGCTTACAGAGGCTAGAGAGTAGAGAGCGCTCCTCGGAGAAGGAATGTTAAATAATCAGCCTTGCGTTTGCTTAAGCTTTTGTCAGTTTGCTTGTGAATTTGTAAGATTGGAATCAAGAGAAATAAAGTCTGGAGTCAGAAAGATAGCTGAAAGGGCTGAAAGAAACCCTTGCAAGTGAGAGGCCTGGGTTTGATCCATGGCACCCTGAGCATTCCCCCAAGCACTGCCAGACACGACCACCCACCCCCCCCAATAGAAATCATTTTGTTCCAAAATAAATTATTGAATCATTTAATTTTACACTTTCAAAAGCAAGAGTTTCTTATGCGGCCATGCCCTTCACATTATACAAAAGAAAGTATAATTTAATTTTTTTTAAGTGTATGTTGCTGGAGATTGACTCCAGGGCTTCATATATGCAAGGTATGTGATCTACCACTGATTCACCTCCCAGACCCAAAATTTAATCTTCTAAACACTCTAAGAGTTAGGTCACTTATTTTTTCAATTACTGAATGCTACTTCACATCTTTTATGTCTATGCTCAGTCTTTAGTTTTAAAACTCAATTTACTCAATTCATTTTGTTTTGTTTGGGCCACACCCAGCAGAGCTCAGGCATCTGCACTCAGGGATCACTCCTGGCAGTGCTGGGGGACCATATGTGATCCAGGGATGGAACCAGGTTGTCATGTGAAGCCAAGGACTCTAAATCTTTTGGTCCCATGGGCTGGAGTGATAGCACAGTGGGTAGGGTGTTTGCCTTGCACGTAGCCAACCCAGGTTCGATTCCCAGCATCCCATATGGTCCCCCGAGCACCGCCAGGAGTAATTCCTGAGTGCATGAGCCAGGAATAACCCCTGTGCATCGCCGGGTATGACCCAAAAAACCAAAAATAAATAAATAAATAAAATAAATCTTTTGGTCCCACACATTTCTTTAAAATGTGGTGTCAAAGATTGAATCCAGATCCTCCACATGCAAGGCATGAATTCCATCACTGAGCACATCCCTGGCCTTAAATTAAGTACATATTTGAATTATGTATCTTAAATCTTTGAACAAGAAGCCTTAAGACGTTCCATGTTCACTGTTTTCATGGACACACAGCAATTAAACAGTCCTGGAAAACCAAGGAAATCCTTTATAACATAATGCCACCAAAGTGAAACCATAAGTAAAAAATTCCTCCTAGAAATTAGAATCGGATGGTTTATTCCTTTTTTCTCTTTTTTGGGTCACACCCAGCAATGCTCAGGGGTCACTCCTGGCTCTACACTCAGAAATTACTCCTGGCAGTGGTTGGAGGACCATATGGGATGCTGGAGATTAACCTGGGTCAACCACGTGCTAGGCAAAGGCCCTACCCGCTGTACTATAGCTCCAACCCATGATTTATTTTTTCTGATGACAACTCTATAATTATTTTTCTTTACTTTGCCAAAACATTCACAGAGCGAAATCCAAGGCTCAGCTTTATGGAACCTAAACCGCTCTGAAACAGCTGGTCTTCATTGGTATTTCCTTCTCTCTGGTCTGGCCTCTCTAGTTAGATATACTTTAACCATCATTTTTTTTACATCTGTTTTGCCTTCACATATAAGTTGCCTTAATTAAGTGTATAAAGTGCAGTCAGGTATAAGTAAAACTTTGTTGTTGTTGTTGTTTTATGTTTTGTTTTGGGGATCCACACTTGGCAGAGCTCTGGAACTATATGGGGTTGAGCCCAGGCTACCTGTGTGCAAGGCAAGTACCCTGCTCATTGTGCTATCTCCCCAGTCCCCCCTTAGATATGAATAAAATTTAAAGTGAGGCGGAGGATAAAAAAACACCCACAATCTAGACAGTTACTGTGAGACATAGGCTCTGCTTGACTGAGAGCCTCAGTGAGAGCTGTGCCCCAGGAAACTTCCAGAAAGAACACGTGACTGAGCTGAGTAATGAGAGATAGCCTCGGTGTTACTTAATAAACAAAGAAGACAGGCAGGTGAGAGAATGTCCTAGGCAAGAAATGAAAGTCCATGGGACCCTGAGGTGAAAGGGCGTGCCTAGGGAAGGAACGGGGAAGGCGTGCTTTCCCAGAAGAGGTTGTTCAGAGAACGATGAGGCAGGACACTGAAGAACTTCTGTGGACGATGCTCTAGGGACTTTGATTTCTGGCTTCCAAAGCATGAGTAGCACTATGAGAATAGCCCAGAACTCACTACAATGATTCACGGCAGAAAAGTTGACCCTCCGCAAGTGACAATTCCAGTTTCAATACATATAAGACATTAGTAAACCAGCCCCTAACACTGAATCCAAATCCTCTCCTCATCCATTTTCATCCCTTACCCACACAAACTTTTATTTAAAAAAATATATGGGAGTGAGGGAGTCTGGGAGAGGCATTCACTGGAACATAAGAATGAAAGAAGCAAGTCAATGGTCTTTAGGCAGAAACATAAAAATTCTGAGCCTTGCCCCTCCCAATTTTCTTTGCACTTGACATTATCCAGGTTGTAAGCAACTCCTCTAGGAAGAAGCTTCTAAGAACTGCGAAGCCTGGTTAGGACTTTATGTTTCCAACGGTCCCAATCACCATCTCTAAGACTGACATGAAACCGTTCAGGGTCTCCATGCTCGCCTCACTTTGTTTGACAGAGATCTGCACTTCCGTGTTCTCAGGCTCCACCACAAGTTCTGTCAAGAATAGACATCCAGCCTCATCCTGTGCGCTGAGGTAGGCTTTCCATGGCCGGGCGCCAGGCTTGCTCATTGCGATGGTCTGGATGTTCACTACTTGCAGAGCCATCTGGAGGGTATCAGCATGAACTGTTCCCTGCCAGGGGATCACCTGCTGCTGAGCAACATCCAGGCTTAGCCATGTTCTCTCAAAAGACTCTGCCGTCAGCTGACGATTGGGGATGAGCATGAGGGCTCCAGAGTCGGGGAGTTCCTGCACCCTCTCCTGGTTCTCTTCAAGAATCAAAGGTCCTGAAAGGGTCAGAAAGCTTGTGAAAGTCATGTTCTTAGTCACTAAGAAACAACACTTGAAAATCCTGACTTCCAAAGTTGCACAACTGGGTTTTCCGCTTTGAATAAGTGGCATTAAAAAACAATGACGAGGGGCTAGAATGATAGTACAGCAGGGAGGGTGTTTGCCTTGCATGTGGCCAGCCTGGGATCGATCCCCAGCACCCCATATGGTCCCCCAAGCACTGCTAAAACTCAAATCCTTGAGTGCGGAGCCAGGGGTAATTCCTAAGCACTGCTCGGTGTGGCCCCCAAACAAACAAAAATAAATAATAAATAAAAAACAATGAAGTGCTGGAGAGAAAGCACCATGCTCTGCATAAGGGAGGCCCAGGCTCAAATCCCAGCATCATGTGGTGCCCTGAGCATTGCTGGAAACAGTCTCCTGGCACAGAGTCAGTAATAACCAAAAAATGAACAAAAACAACACAAAGAGGGCCCAGGGTTACTCAGTGGTAACAGAGCCTGCCTTCCAAGCTCGAGGTCCCGGAGGCTGCAGATTTGATCCCTAGCACTGCTCCACATGCCCAAGTATAAGCCCAGGTGGTCCTGCAGTTTGAGGTCCCAGTTCTACCACTAACTGTGCAGTTCCCAGGGAACACTGCAACCAAGTGTGTGAGTACTGCAGCTGAATTCAATGAACCCCTCTATACTGGAGCAAGAATAACAATAAAGAGCAGTGGAAAACACAATGGAAAATGTTCCTGCCTAGAGTTCAAGTTCAGGCAACTATCTGAGACTTTGCTGCAAAACTCCACTTTCTGCCAGTCACTGCACAAGATGAACATTTTTTTCATGGCTGACAGAAAGGACCATTTTTACCTGACGTGGCAAAAGATGCAGAGTTGGCAGGCTCCAGGCCACGATGCTCTGGCCCCTGGCACTTGGAGATTGTTGCCCAGCGGGCTTTGCCATACACAGGCACCAGAGTGTTGAAGTCGGCGGCCCAGCTATTCACCGGTCTTTCTGCCTGATCCTCCAAAAGCCGAAGAGAAGGGTCAGATTTAGGGCTACACAGGATCCGCTTTACCTCATCAATGCCCGCCAACAGGAGGCGATAATAGAAGAGCCCTCGGTCCCGAACTGCCATGTCTTTCTCTTCCTCTGAGGAAGAAGGCAAGAGACTGTGAAGGGAAACCATCGCCCACACGCCATCCTCAACCTCACTGCCAAGGACACAGGAGGAAGGATGTGCTGACACTCATGCTCTTCCTCTTGGCGCCCAGTGTGCACCAAGCAAGGAAAGTTGCAGGCAGGTTGCCAGGGAGGGACCCACCTATGCAGTAACACAGCAAGCGGCCCAGCGTGTCCTGGCACTCAGCAGGCCGGCAGAGGAAGAGGCGCAGCAGGCCTGAGAGGAGTTCCATCTTGACAGCAGGGAACGTCTCCGACTTCACGTTCTCCACAAAGTCTTCCAACACATAAGGTGCATTGGGAATTCTTTCCCCATGGATGCCCAGGAGCCAAATTAGTGCTTGCTTTCCCTGAAGAATGGAAGAATTAAGTGGCTGGAGCAGGAGTTTACTGTGGGGCCATGAGTCCAGGAAACCACAGGCTGGCACAAGGTCGCTTCTCCCCCCAGCCATCCTCTTTTCCTCCCTGCAGTTTGCACTATATCACCCCCCTCACCCCACGTCACCCCCACTCCTGAGTCTCCCAAGAGTTGCAGGACTCCCACAGGCCATGGTAATGGAACAACAGGTTTCCTCATATTGGTCGCCTCTGCCCTCCTGCAGGGAGTTCATGTTTTAGTTACTCAAAAATGGCCCCATGGGGCTGGAGCGATGGCACAGTGGGTAGGGCGTTTGCCTGCACATGGCTCACCTGGGTTCAATTCCCAGGTCCCATATGGTCCCCCGAGCACCGCCAGGAGTAATTCCTGAGTGCATAAGCCAGGAGTAACCCCTGTGCAACGCTGGGTGTGACATGCCCCCCCCCAAAAAAAAGTTCCCAAATTACTTCAGGAGAGTGGGGACAAACCTAGAGTGTACATCAGACTCATCTGTAAGGCTCTGAGTTCCGTTCCTAGCACCACTCCACATGTTGAGAACCCTGCCTTCACCCTGGCATGGCAACCCGGTAGACAAGTACCACCCAGGGTGTGTACCCAATAGCAACCAAGGGAAGGAGAGGGGACATACAAACATACAGAAGGACCCAACTACTCCACATCTGGAGATCTGAGTCAGGAGACCTGGGTGAAGACCAACTATTTGCAAAATTCCACAAATGATTCTGATTTTCATTCCCGCTGACAACTCCAGGGCTCAAGCTTAAAACTACTCAAGAGAATAACAGTATTAAAGCTTCTAGAATTAGTCTGTAGTTTTGGTAATCATCTATATGCCAGCTAGACCCTGAAAAGTACCAAGCTGACAATGTAATAATTTTCAAAATTATCATGAACAATTTTGGAAATTATGATACATGAAATTATATTATAATAAAAATCATTACAAATAATTATAAATTTAAACAATTAGTTTAGATATTGGGTAAGAAGGACAGATTCCATTTCAGAGAGCAGAATCCCAAGCATTCCCCTACTCCTTGTCAGTAAACAATTACGGTCTAGGTGTCAGAGGGAAGGCAGAGGGATTAAAGCACTTACGTTGCACCCCGTGGACTCCAGTTCAAATCACCAGTACTGCATATGGTCCCCTGGTCATGGCCAGGAGTGATCCCTGAGCACTGAGTCAGGAGTAGTCCCTGAGTACCTCTAGGTGTGGCCCCCAAACAAAGAAACCAACAGAAGAATGCCAGCCTACCTCACTATCTTGAATGCTCTCCTCACAGCCGGGCAGGGCCTGACACACAGCTTCCGTGCACTGAGGACACAGCCAGACCAGGTCGCGGAAGGTCTGCACCACGGCTACACGGGAGACAAAAGCCCAGGTTAGCACTGCCACAGAGAAGAAGCCAGAAGCAAAGCCATAGACCCACAACACACTGCTCAGAGAGCTCCCGCCACAGAAGTGTTGGAAAGACACTTCAAAGAAGCACTGGACCCAGGCTGTCTCTGTCTCTAAACATCTGACATGGGCAGTATCTCTCTCTCCCCCTCGCTCTCTAAGTGCCTGACATGGGTACTCTCTCTCTCTCTCTCTCTCTCTCTTCCTCTTTCTAAGTATCTGACATGGGTAATCTATCTCTTTCTCCCGCCCCCCTTAAGCATCTGACATGCACAATGTCTCTGTCTCTGTCTCTCATGTTGGCCACCACCAATAGCACAATGTGAATGTCATTAACGTCACTGATTTTGGACACTTGCAAAACGGTCCCAAAGAGAAATTCTAGAACATGTATAGTTTACTAATTACACCTTTTTTTTTTTAACAAGTTAAGAAAAGAACCACGTAGGGGTGTGGAGTAAGAGCTGGGCTCCAGCATATGTGGGAGAAAATAAACGTGTGAATCAAGTTACTTTTAAGCACTTTGAATCAACCTGTCATGGTGCATGATTTTATGAAGACTTTTTTTTTTTTTTTTTTGCTTTTTGGGTCACACCCAGCGATGCTCAGGGGTTACTCCTGGCTCATGCACTCAGGAATTGCTCCTGGCGGTGCTCGAGGGACCATATGGGATGCTGGAACTCGAACCTGTGTCGGCCATGTTGGCTGCGTGCAAGGCAAACACCCTACCCGCTGTGCTATCGCTCCAGCCCCATGAAGACTTTCTTTCATCTGCTTTTGTTCAGTCAGTCTTTTTATTATCATCTCGGCTTGGGCTCCTCTTCATTATTATTCACAGCTTTCCTTCTCACCTCCCCCAACTCAGCTGATGGATCTCTCAAAAACAACCCCTGGGAGTCTTCCCTTCTCTGTCTGATCCTGCGTGGCTGAGGCAGTGTCTGTCTTCACAGCTCATTTTGGTTCTATAAACAAATACGTTATGCCCAACCTCTATGCCCAACTGCACGTGGAACAGGAACTGCCTTCTCGATGTCTCCTGCAACTCACTCGGGCCCAGCAAGAGGCACTGTTTTCCCTTGTTCTGATGAGTTTCTGCCTTTATTCATTTAGTTTTGGTTTGGGGCCACACCTGACTGTGATCAAGGATTATTTCTGGCTCTACACTCAAGGATCACTTTTGGCAGTGTCTGGGGGACTTTATGTGATGCTGGGGATCGAACCTGGGTCAGTGCATGCAAGGCAAGCAAGCACCTTCTGTGTTATACCTTGAGTGCCTCAAGCAGAGAAATATATGATTTTAAATCATTCTTTCTGCTCCCCATCTCCCAGCTGCCTAGTGATGAGCGCTGTCCCATTTCTCTCTGCATCCCCTGCATCCTGGGTGCCCTTATCTTGCGCTCAGCTTCTGGGCCCCTTGAGCAGACCACTGCCTGCCAGTCACCTCACCTCCTTGCTTCCTGGAGGTCTGCAGGCAGGAACTAGCCCGAGGCCACTCCTACCTCATTGCAGAGATTACCTAGTGCACTCTCTCCCCCAGGGAAGGGGCCCTGCACACAGCAGAACCACCCAACTGACTTCAGGCTGAGGAACTGTCCCAGGAGCTGAGGCAGAGTACGTGGGTGACACATGGCTTCTTAGAAGTGTCAGAATCAGCATGGGTAGAGACCGAGTGTGCACATGAGGAGCGAGCCGGGCTCCAGCAAAGGAAAGGAGGGCTCCTGGGGCAGAAGTCCAGGTTCTGGCCTGGGCTGATGGGTAAAAAAAAGGTTGGCGCAAACAACAGTATGACTATTGTTCCCGATTCAGAGTACTTAGCAGCTCTGGGAATCCCCCTGCTCTGATCCCTCACTTGTAGGCAGCCTTCGGCTTAGAATATCCCCTCCTCCTCCTCCTAACCTGAACATCTGAAATATTTCCCCTGCATCAAAGGCTGATATAAGATGGCCTTTCCTTCTCAGAGCAGAAGTATATTCTGCCCTGATATTTTCTCTCTCTCTCTCTGTTTCTCTCTCTCTCTCTGCCTCTCTCTCTCTCTGTCTCTCTCTGTCTCTCTCTCTCTCTCTCTCTTCTCTCTTTCTCCCCGCTCTTTCTTCCCCGCCCCCTTTCTCTCTCTTACTCATGCTCAGGGATCACTCCTGGGGACCATGTATATGGAAGATGTAGATGTCTGCATGCAAGGCAAGAGTCCTAGCCACTGTACTACTGCTTCTTCCCTCTTTTTTTTTTTTTTAATTTTAAAATAACTATATTTGTTAATGACACAAAAGTATTCTTGCTGCCCACAAAAACATACTTTCCTCAGTGAAGGTTACTCCTGCAGGATGGCTGCACAGATAAAGGACCTACAGCAAGCAAAAGCACTTGGGAAAATTTCGTAACACTGTATGCAACTGTGGGGAATGCTCTTGAATCATACTCTGAAGGCAGTATGAACGGAGGTACCCTGCAGGACCTCGGCCAGGGATTTGGTGAGGAAAAGTGTGACCCTGTAAAACTTAAGACATGCCAGGTTAGTACTGACACAAACCCAAGAGGGAGTGTCTCTTTCAATGTCTGCATCCTAAGGACCTTGCTTGCTCCAGTACCTCAGCTCCAGCCCAGGAAACCACTATTGATGGCTTCCACCAAGCTGAAAGAGGAATTAAGTGGGGTGATGACAAGCAAAGTCAGACTCTTCATATACAGTCTCATAAACTCATGGCAACCTAGACTCTTGGATCTCAAAAACGTGATGATTTTCTGATGACAAGGTGAGGAAACAAAGAAAAGTTTATGCCTCAATGTTATTCAACAACAAATAGTGCAACAACTACTATAAGCCAGACAACAGAAAACAAAACAAAACAAAACAAAACAAAACAAAACAAAACAAAACATGGGGCCAAAGCATTATGTAGCAGGTAGCGTTCTTGCCTTGCACCAGCAGAGTTGGATTCCCAGGAACCCCTGAGCACCACTGGGTGTGGCCCAAAAAGCAAATACAAACAGAAAAACCCAAGAAAGGTCGGCAATACCAGGGCTAGAGCGATAGCACAGTGGTAGGGTGTTTGCCTTGCACGCAGCCAACATGGCCGACCCGAGTTCGATTCCTCCACCCCTCTCGGAGAGCCCGGCAAGCTACCGAGAGTATCTCGCCAGCACGGCAGAGCCTGGCAAGCTCCCCGTGACGTATTCGATATGCCAGACACAGTAACAACAAAGTCTCCAATGGAGACGTTACTGGGCCCGCTCGAGCAAATCGATGAACAACGGGAGGGCCTTTACCTTTACCTTACCAGTGGTAATGTGCTCCTGTCGAAGGCCAAGCAACTCCGTGAGGATCTTTACACACTCATCTGTGTAGGTCCTGGCAATGCCGCCTACAGAAGAAAGACAGGAAAGCAGGTGTGGAGTTAAATACCATGTCCTTCTAACATACTTCCTCATTAGCCAAAGGCAAAGATATTCTAATAGGATACTGTAATTTTATTCTAAACACAAGTTTGGTTTTTAAAAAAATCCTTTTTTTTTTCTTTCATTGTTCAATAGAAAGCCGAACTGTCATGGGAAAAAAATTTCACAGGATCACTTTATAGCCAGTTCCTAGTATGATTTCTGCCTTCCCCTTTTATCTCTCTTTTCTGCCTCGAAAAAGAACCATATTTGATTCTAACATGATGGTTCCTTCTCCATTTGACCTGTTCCTTCTCTTCCACCACAACCTGACTGCTTTCATTTTATGAAGTGAATTACTGCCATAGTAATGTGACAAAATTGCTGAGACTTATCCTGTATTGTCTGTACTAGTTACTGCACATAGCTCAAAGCTCAGACAATGAAGGTGAACTGACAGGACATTTGACTCAGGAAAGCCGATTCCAGATTCAGGCTGGGAACGAGGCAAGGTTTCAGCAATAAAATAACATTTGGGGGGCTGGAGCAATAGCACAGCAGGTAGGGCGTTTGCTTTGCACACGGCCAACCTGGGTTCAATTCCCAGCATCCCATATGGTCCCCCGAGCACCACCAGAAGTAATTCCTGAGTGCATGAGCCAGGAGTAACCCCTGTGCATCATCAGGCAAAAGTAATAACATTTTTGCTTTATTTTTTTCTTTTGCTTGAGTTTCTTCATATTTCAAATAAACTGATAACTTATGTACTTCCTGACTGCCTCACAAAACTGTCTTAGGCATTTTGTTTTGGTTTTGTTTGGGACCACAACCTGCAGTACTCAGAGTTTATTCCTGGCTCTGTGCTCAGGGATCATTCCTGGTGGTGCTCTGGAGACTGAGGTACGAGGGGGTAGGGGTAGGGGATCAAACCAGGGGTGGTGTCTTATCTCTCTGGCCCTAGCTAATTATTTTCATAAATAGGCAGCAAAAGGTGATATGAATTTTAAGTAACAGTTTGAGTTACCTGTACTTCCTCTCCTGGAAAATAGGGAAAACTAATGTTGATGGGGATAAAACAAAAACAACAACAAAAGGGGACAGAGAGATAATACAGACTGGTAGAAAGCTTGCCTGGCATGCAGCGAGCCAGAGTTTTATCCCTGATGCTCTATCTCTATGGAGCCCCACCAGGAATGATCCCTGAACGCAGAGCCAGGAGTAAGCCCTCAGGATAGCTGGGTGTGGCAAAACAAAACAAAAAAACAATAACAACAAAAATACACCAACGCAAAACAATATAAAAGTAGGGCCAGGGAGAGAGCCCAAAGGGCTAGAGCACAGGTTTTGCATGTGGAAGGCCCTAGTCTGATCCTCAGCTTGGTACAGTCCACCAGGCTGCACTGGAAGTAGCCCCCAGCACCAGTAGATATGTCCCCAGATCAAAAGCAAACCAGGCATGTCACTGCCCTGTATGGAATCAGTGACCCAGTTGTTTGGCACTCACATTTTCTGGCCGAAGTGTTCCTGTGCACACTTCCTTTTTCTCCCCATAGCTTTGCAGCTATGTGGCAGACACGTACCTATGGCAAAGATGGCAGCCTGGGCAAAGTCAGCGGACACATCGGTACAGTACCCTCGAAGCTCCTCCAGTACCTGTTGCACATTCTCGTCATTCACCAGCTCACACAACACCTCCACTTTTTGGAGCTTGATGTAGTGGGGCTCCGAGTAGGAGCAAAAGAACTTCTTGTAGTGGCTGCTGAAGTGGCCGGGCAAACTCCGCAGGATTTGGCGCACGTGACAAAGGGCAGCAAAGCAGAGCTCACGGCTCTCTGAGGAGCAGGCAGCCAGCAAGGGCCCTTTGACCCGCACCAGCACGTCTGTCTGGACGTGAGGGAACTTCTGGGCCAGAATCAGGAAGAGCTTCGTGGCTGCCATCACCACTGCAGGGCTACCGCTCTTCAGAGAGCCATCTAGGAGGTTGAGGATGTCGAACAGCTCTTCCTCACTGCGTGGCTGGTAGCGCAGCAGGAAGTGCAAGACTTCAGCTTGGCCCCACTGGTCCAGTTTTGACATGCTAGCCCCCCCCAAAGAAAACAAAGGTGTTATTTTAGAAATTCATCCCACCTCCATCTAAGTACCATATTACCAAGTGATCATTAATAAGTGCACAAGGAATGAAAACAAACTGGGCCATAAATCAGACCACTCCTTTTTCATACTAGGTAAAGGTTTCATAAAATAGGATTTAAATTCTTGATTACAGAATAAATGCAGACTTGATAAGACACCCTAGATCTACAGCCTACATTTTTTGTTTGTTGGTTGGTGTTTGGGCATACGCAGTGGTGTTCAGGGCTTACTCCTGGCTCTACACTCAGAAATTATTGCTGGCACTGTCTGAGGGCCCATATCTATGCCTGGGATAGAACCTGGGTGTGCAAGGCAAGCCCCCTACCCACCATAGGGTTAAGAACAAATAAAATGCATCATTTGGGTTTGGGAGATTCCTTTAGGAGGACAGAATTTATCCCCAGAGACTGGTTCTATCATCTCACCAAAAGACACTAATGCAAATGAAAGAAATACAATAAAAAATGAGGAAGTTAATCATGATCAACTTCCCTTTCTACCCTACAGAGGGTGCTTAAGACCTCTCCTTAATTCACTGTTCCAACAAGCTCCCACTTGTTGGATCCAACAAGTTCATCACAAGAAAAAGAGAACTGAACCGGGCCGAACCGATTTAAGAGATGGTGAGCAATGGGCTTATTGATGACCACACCGCCTTCCTGTTTCAGAATTTCCTCCAGAGATCTCAGGCAGTTCACAACCACAATTGGATCCTGGTCACGGAGCAGGCTGTATAATTCATTCACCAGGGCACCATCTAGAAAAAGAGATTCCAGATAAAGGAGCTAGTGAGAGAGAACTAAAGGAATTGCTACAGACACACAAAGTTTAACTTCTCTGCTACAAGAAAAAAAAGAAAGAGTCCCTTCCAGATGATTTAAAAGAACCATGCAAACACTCACACTTGGGCCCCAAAGAATGGACTTCTCTAATTTCAAAAATACCAAGTCCCCATACTTAAAGAGCTATGCACAAAAGTTGGTCCACATTATTCTTCTCTTAAGACCACATCATCTTTTACCAAAAAAAATATATGTATATATATTTATAAAATGGAGAAGCAAATATCATTATGACATGGAAACTTACCCACTTCAGAGTCTTCATGAAGATTGTGCATTTTGGCACATCCAAGAACGGCCACTCTCCTAACATATGAAGCCTTATCCCGCAGACCATTGAGAATGGGCTGCTGGATATATTCCTGTACACCAGGCATCCTAAGAAATACCCCCAGTTAGCCAATCCTGAATTACTAGTTTTGACATCATTTAGCCTCTACTCAATTAACAAAGGGTTGAGAGCATGTACATCTATCATATCATTAGAAATTTGACACAAGCTACCAAATTTAAGCTATGTTTGACTCCTTCATTTCGAAAAATGACAGAAAAGAAAATTATGTATATGGAATTGTTTAGAAATCTATGATCCAAACCAAGAATTAATTCACAGAGTGGGAAGACTCCCCTTAATGAAACCATTGGTTATGATTTTGTTTTGTTTTGTTTTGAAGCCATAACCAGCTAAGCTCAAGGCTTTCTCCTAGCCCTCAGGGGTCACTTGTGGCAGTGCTGGGGGACCATACAGAGCGCCAGGGACTAAACCCAGGTGAGCTACATGCAAGACAAGCACCCTCCCTATCTGCTGTACTTTTCATCAAGTACCCCATTGGACACAGTTTAGAAAGCGGAAACGGGGCAGAGAGAAAGTACAGTGGGTAGGGCACTTCCCTTGCGTGTGGTTGACCCAGGTACAATCCCAGGTATCCTATATGGTCTCCTGAGCAGCCAGGAATGATGCTGAGTGCTGAGCCAAAAGTATGCCCTGAGAACAGTTGAGGGTGGTCTAAAACTCAACAAACAACAAGAAAATAGAACTCTGAAGCAATGCAACCTAAGAGCTGCAACAGTTTCTTCCCTGTACTAAGGAGATTAAATAAATTGTTATCCTTAAAAAGGTGCCCAATGGGCCCGAGCTATAGTCCAGTAGGTACAATGCCTTGCCTTGCCTTGCCTTGCCTTGCTTGTGGTCAACCTGGCTTAAATCCCCAGCACCACTTGTAGTCCCCTGAGTACTATCAGGAGTGATCTCTGAGCACGGGAATGTGTATCCCCCTCTATCCCCCTCAAACCCTGCCCCCCACCAAAAAAAAGGCTCCTCTGACCTCCTCAGCCTCCCCAAACACTGAGAAGTGGGCAGGGCAGGGCAGGGCTGACCTGAGGCTACTCATGCTCCGTAGTGCCAGCCCTCGCACCATTGGGTTGGGGTCCGAGCAGTCTTTGCACAGAGTGTTGATGGCCAGGAGAGCCAAGTCTGGTTTCAGAGGGGCATAGGTGCACATGTACAGATAAACCAACTTCTTCTGAACAATATCCATGGTGGCACTGGCCTTCACCATCTCCATGAAAACAGCAGACATGTCCAATCCCTGAGTCATGTGCCTGAAAATACAGAGAACAGGAAGAAGTAAACATCTACCCCCGCCATCAGAGAGGCACTTTACCTCCACGTGGCCAACTAGACGAGGACCCCTGAGAGTGAAGCTTCCAGACCTGCCTTGTCTAGCATGTGACACAGCACAGTCTGCCCTGTGCTGCAGCTGCAATTGACGCTGTTCTTCCACTCATTCATCCTAGCCCTGCCAATACCTCCAGGGGTCACTCCTGAGCATAAAGCTAAGAACAGTCCCTCAGCACTGTAGGATGCGGCCCATCCCACCCCCTGCAAAAAATAAAAATAAACGGAAGTTGTGACTTAAGATATGTATAACGGGTCAGAACAATAGTATAGCAGGTAGGGCGTTTGCCTTGCACGTGGCCGACCTGGGTTCGATCCGGCATCCCATATGGTCCCCCAAGCACCACCAGGAGTAATTCCCGAGTGCAGAGCCAGGAGTAACCCTTCCGCATCGCTGGGTGTGACCCAAAAAAGAAAAAAAAATGCGTAACTCAAAAGTCTATTAAGGGGGCTGGTAGGGCCCTTGCCTTGCACATGACTGACCTGGGTTTGATCCCCTGCTTCCCATAGGGTCCTTCAGCACCAGGAGTAATCCCTGAGAGCAGAGACAGGTGTAACCCCTGAACATCATTGGGTATCCTCCTCTTCCCCCCCAAAAAAAAGATGTCTATTAAGGAGCCAGAAAAGATCAACATTATAGGATAACAGTGGCTGGAACAATAGCACAGCAGGTAGGGCATTTGCCATGCACGTGGCTGACGTGGGTTCGATTCCCAGCATCCCATATGGTCCCCCAAGCACCACCAGGAGTAATTCCTGAGTGCGTGAGCCAGGAGTAACCCCTATGTATCACCGGTGTGACCCAAAAAGAAAAAAAAATAGGATAACAGATAAGAACTGTAGGAGAAGTGGTAGGCAATGTACTGTGGGAATCCAGATGTTTAATACTGCCTAGAAGTCAATGTATTTCCACGGAGAAAATAGTAAAACTTGAGCTGAATGAGTAGGATTTCAGCTGGCAGGTATGGTGGATAGGTTTTGATACATACTGTGAACATGCAGACATTAGCAAGAATGGAACAGTCCTTTGAGAGTCTGCAAGTGGCTGAGTTAAAAGGTTATTTTTGGGGTGCTATAAGAAATTTGGACTTCATTTTGTAGATTAGTGTTTAACTGTCATCTTCTAAAGGACAGTTATTAAAAATGTGGATAGTGGCTCCCATCCCACTCTACTGAAGCCAGAACTACTGTACATTTTTTAAAAAAGCAATCCAAACAAATTTTGTGCATTCTATAATTTGTGAGTCCAGGTTGTGTCAGAGAGGGCTCCCAGGGCTGGAGTACCCACTCTGTGTGCAGGAGGCCTGGGTGTGATCCAGGCAGGACACGGTTCTGAGAGCACCCAGAGAATGACTTCTGAACATCTTCGTGTGTTTGGAAGACAAACCAAACATCAAATTAGATGTTCAAATTTACATACTGGAAAAATTCTGACTGAAAAGGGGGAGAAAAAGTGATCTAGTAATAAGCTGATAAGTTACTGCGATTGCTTTGGTAATGAAATAAGAACAAAAGGTAGTACAAAGTTATAAAAAAAAAAAGATGGAGAACAGAGAGCTAAGTCAGTGGGCTGTAGCCCTGGTCTGACCCCCAGTACCACGGGGTTCCAAGGCACCCCAGCAGCCCCCCTCTACTACTGAGCCTGGAGTGGGCTTCGCTAGTTTAGCTCCGAATGAAGCAAAATGATATTTTTCAAAGAGGCGGGCGGGCATATAAGGCAGTACACGGGTGAAAACACATATCTACAGTCACCCCTGGATCCGTGCTCGGCACCACAGTCCCCTAAGTCCCTCCAGGAGTGATTCCTGAGCACAGAGCCGGGAGCGGGCCCCGAGCACTGACTGCCCAGGGGTGGCTCAAATTCCAGTCCCCCATCAGGAAAAACTTTAAAACAAGAAGGCGATGGATTTGGCACAACTGGGGGCCATACTGTGACTTGGGTGTCAGTCAGGTGTCACCAGGGCTGCCACACACGCTGGGTCAGCCGGGTGACAGTCACGGGCACGGGCACGAACGAGCAGAAGAGCTGGTCTGGGGGCAGGCGGTGTAAACGCTGCAGCGCGCCGTGAAGGTCCCGGGGGAAACACGCCCACGGGCGGCGGGACAGTGGGAGTCTGTGCCGGACAGCGAGGCGGGTCCGCGGCGCGAGGGAGGGGGCGTCGGCCGTCGGGTACCTAATCACGCGCTGGATGACGCTCCGGTAGCGCAGCCGGTCGGCCTGGACGTGCGGGTTGCACAGGGCCTTCTTCAACTCCTTCACCGCGTCGTCGGAGCCGAGGTACGGCATCTCTCCGGCCGCGGGGGCCCGCGGGGGACACGCCGGCGTGGCTGACGGAGGCCGCTCCCCCACCCAGAGTCGCCGCGCCGCCGCGAGCCCCGGGCCGGCTCCCTCCCCGTCCCGCCTCGAAGCCTCCGGGCGCCTCCCCGCGGCGGCTGTCACGGATAGGTCGGAGAGCACGCGAGCCGGAAGTCCCGCCTCCCGGCGAGAGCGGCTGCCACTCACTCTCCGCTGACGAGCGCCGAGCGGAGCCGGGGCCCACCTTCGTGCTCTTCCCCCAATCTCTCACCTCCCAGCGCCCCCGTGTGGCCCGCCCGGGTGCCGCGCGCCGCGCGCTCCGGCCTCGGCTGCTCGGGCCTGGCCCCGCCCCACGGAGCGCGCTTTTAGGGCCTGGCCCCGCCCCGCGGCGCGAGCGGATGGGCGGGGCTCTCGGCGCGCGGGTAGGCGGGGCGCCCGGTGAGCGGGGAGGGGCGGGGCTCTCGGCGCGCGGGTGGGCGGGCTCTCAGCACGCGGGGTCCGGGGCGCTCGGCGCGCGGGTGGACTGGGCTGTCACCGCGCGGGGCCGGGGGCGCGCGGGCCGGGGGCGCTCGGCGCGCGGGTGGGCGGGGCGGCCGGTTGCGTGGGCCTCGGCGCGGGCCCCGCACGCTCTAGCGAGCCCTTTTCCCGCCCGTTCTCGGGGCGGCTCCCGCGACGGGGCTGGCTGTTGCTCACTCCTTTCTCGTCCAGGCCTGTCTGCTGCGGGGGCGCCGGGTGCTCTCGTAGACTCTCTCCCACCCCTGCAGCCTGGGGATTTTTTCAGCCCCGCCACCATGAACGGGGTCGTGATCCCCCATACTCCCATCGCCGTGGACTTTTGGAGTCTGCGCCGGGCAGGTTCAGCGCGGCTTTTCTTCTTGACCCATATGCACTCGGACCACACCGTGGGTCTGTCCAGCACCTGGACCCGGCCCCTCTACTGCTCCCCCATCACTGCCCACCTCTTGCATCGGCACCTAAAGGTATGGGGACTTGAGTGGGCCTCTGAGTGCTGGCCCATCTGGGTGAGGGCCTCTGCTCGGTAACAGCCTCGAACCAGAGTGGCAGGAGGCCAGGAATTATCTAGCATCGGTTCACAGCAGCACTGAGGCCTCCAGCTGGCCTACCGGGGGCGTGTTTCGGTGTGAATGGGGAAGTCTGTGAGCCCAGCAACGGACTCTTTATTTCACAACTGCCTGTCTTGAGGCTCCACCTTGGGGCACCCAGAGGAGCTCTGCAGGGTCACTGTGCTGGCTTCATCCCCTGCACCCTGTGGAGCACACCCCTGGCGACTCCATGAGTAGCTCCTGCGCACCTCTAGGTACTGGTCAAAACCCCGAGAGAGGGGCTGGAGCGATGGTACAGAGGGTGGGGTGTGGTGTTTGCCTTGCGCTGATCCTGGTTGTGCATTCCATATGGTCCCCTGAGCACAGCCAAGAATAATCCCGAGCGTCTCCAGGTGTGGCCCCACAACCAAGAAAGAAACCAAAAAGAAAGAAAACTAAAGAAAGAGAGCTCCCGGGCGGGAGGTATAGTACAGCGGGTAAGGCACTTGCCTTGCAGACAGCCACCCGGGTTTAGTTTCTGCAACCGATATGGTTCCCTGAGCACTGCCACAGGAGTGAGCCCTGAGTACTGATGGGATATGGCCCAAAAACCAAAAAAAGAAAAGGAGAGCAAACTCAACCCAGTGTGCTGGGTAGAAAGTGATGGTTCAGGGGCTGGAGTGATAGCACAGCGGGTAGGGCATTTGCGGTGCACACCGCCCACCCGGGTTCAGTTCCCAGCATCCCATGTTCCCCGAGGACCGCCAAGAGTAATTCCTAAGTTCAGAGCCAGGAATAACCCCTTGTGCATCCCTGGGTGTGACACCCCCCCAAAAAAAAGAAAGTGATGTTTCACTACCCCAGCTCTCATCTGATTGGTGGGTACAGGGTCTTGAGACTCTGGTTGGAATTCGGTTTTATTTTATGACCTCCCCCACTCGTTTTGAATAGTGAACTGTAATTTACAATACTGCCAGTGACCAGTTCATGTGGACGTCATGGTTCTTTTGGGTTTTTAGTGTTGATTTTTTTTTTCCTTGGTCAGAATTTTGTTTGTTTTTTGGGTCATACCCGGCAATGCTCAGGGGTTACTCCTGGCTTTGCACTCAGGAATCACTCCTGGCGGTGCTCAGGGGACGATATGGGATGCTAGGAATCGAACCCAGGTTGGCTGCATGCAAGGCAAACGCCCTACCCACTGTGCTATCACTCCAGTCCTTTGGTCAGAATTTTTTTCACTGAACTGCTATTCACCCCCACCGCATCCCCACATACCTCTCTCCCCCATTACTCTGACCCAGGGAAGTTTGATACTGGCCCACTAGGCTTTTCTGGGCTCTTCACTTAAGACTGTATAGAAGGTAGGAGTGAGGTGGAACAGTAGTTGTTTGGCCCTCCCATCCCACTTGGCAGCAATTGCAGGAGGGTTTTGGCCTTTGTCCCCTGCTGTGAGAAGGGGCAGCTGGGCATGAAGCCTAGATCCTGTGAACTAACTGGCTGTTTCTCCAGGTATCCAAGCAGTGGATCCACGCTCTGGAGGTTGGTGAGAGTCATGTGCTACCTTTAGATGAATTTGGGCGAGAGACCATGACCGTCACTCTCATGGATGCCAATCACTGCCCGGGCTCTGTCATGTTCCTCTTTGAAGGCTACTTTGGGACCATCCTGTATACAGGTGCATCTTTCATGCTTCCCCCCGTTTTCCTAGCCCACACACTTGTTTTTTTCTTATTTTCTTTTGGGCCATACCTGGTAGTGCCCAGGGACCATATGGGGTGCAGAGATCAGACTCAGGCCAGTGGCTTGCAGCTGTAGGCACCTTAACCATGTACTATCTCTCTTGACCCTCTAGACACTCTCTTGAGCAGACTTAACTGATCCTGAAAGTCTGGAGCTCTGCTCCCTGAGGTGAGCTCAGCAATACTCTTTCAGGTCAGTTCCTCCTTTGCAAGCCTCTTAATCTTATAAAGAATGATCCTGGGGCTAGAAGTGATGGTACAGTGGGTAGGGCATTTGCCCTGCTCAGGGCCATCTGGTTCGATTCCCGTCACCCCATAGAGTTCCCCAAGTCCACCAGGAGCGATCCCTGAATGCAGAGCAAGGAGTAAGCCCTGAGCACCACCAGGTATGGCCCAATACCATCACCCTTCCCCGCCCCCCCCCACCCCCGAAAAATAATCCAGAAAAGCTGGAACAGGATGCAAACATTTCCACAGGGAAGCAGGATTGCTATCTTAGTTTCATGCCAGACTCCATGATTCTTTGACCTGTGTCCAGTGAGGGTGTCGCCATCTGTTGCTGAAGATGAGCAAGTCCTGCTGCTGCTGCTTTGGCTCTCACCTCTGTACCTTCCCAAACATTGTTTTTCTAGGTGATTTTCGATACACGCCATCCATGCTCAAGGAACCAGCTCTGGCAGTGGGGAAGCAGATCGATACCTTGTACCTTGACAACACCAACTGCAACCCAGCTCTGGTTCTGCCATCCCGGCAAGAAGCTGCTCACCAGATTATTGAGCTCATTCGAAAGCACCCTCAGCATAAGGTGAAGATCGGTGAGTGGCTGTGTTTCCTTTTCTCTTACTTGTAGCAAATGAGTTTAGATTCCTCACATCTTTGTGTCTTTGTGTATTTCTCCTCTCCTCCTGAAATTACTCTTACTAATCTATATAAAGCTGCAGTCTGGATCTGGGGACAAAGGGCTGACCCTGTGGGTATTGTATGCTGGAGGTCGAGGCTTGGTCCTTGGCACACGGTCCCCCAGCACAAAGCACTGATCTGGGAGTAGCCCTGGGCATCACTAGGAGTGACTCAAGTGGAAAGGAAATGTTGGTTGTGGTGGGGACATGCACAGAGGATTCAAGTGCATGCTTGAATTTGTGTGTCAGAGCCCCTGGTTAGACCCTCATAATGTCCTTGTGGTCTTCTGAATACTGCGTCAGTGTTTTCACAGCTGCTCGTGTGGGGACAGGGTCTCCTGGTGCATTAGGAACCCAATGGTCGATTCCCCCAGGTGATGGGCGGAAGAACCAGTCACAGGCAGGTGGCTGGCAACGCTTTCATTGAAATTAATCCGGGCTAATACAGGGAAAGAGGAACTGCTTCAAAAATGGAGACAGGGATAGAGTGGGAAACAATCCAGGTGAAGTATAGCACAAACATACGCATGGGAACTAGGGAGTGCTTCTGAGAGTCAGATGTGCCTTGGAAGCACTGCAGCGGGTGAAAGGATAATAGCAAGTGTGATTTGTAGTTCAGTTAACGTAAGCTCTCTGCATGGGAGGAAAGTTGCCCCAAATTTAGCCTGAGCTGCTGGTAATACAGAGGGGCAGTGATTCCACGGATTCTGCTAAGTGAACCACAGCAATTACAAGTTGTGGGGAGACAAGGGATTCCCAAGAGCAGGGCCAAAACCAGGCCCTGAATGCCATTAGATGTCACCCAAAACCCAAAATTCAACAAAAACACAAAACCAAAAACCTCTCCTGTCTGTCTGTTGTCACCACTCTGGGAGTGGAGGGAATACACCATGGCTCTGCGCTCAGGGATCACTGCTGGTGGAGCTCCGAATACACCAAGGGATCACTGCTGGGGGAGCTCCAGATATATCTCCTATGGCTCTGCACTTGGGTCTCTGCTGGCGGAGCTCGGAATACACCTAGGAATCACTGCTGGTGGAGCTCCGAATACACCTAGGGATCACTGCTGGCAGAGCTCGGAATACACCTCCTCTGGCTCTGTGCTCAGGGATCCCTGCTGGTGGTGCTCGGGGATCCCGCATCTGACCTGGGCCACTTTGTGCTCGGCTAGTACCTTACCCATTGTACTCTCTCCTAGTCCTGTTTACTACCACTATTGCCCAGATTTAGACGACATTTCTTTCTGATTGGGCTAACTGGACCTTTTAACTGGTGCTTCTGCTTTGAGCATTTCATCCAACACTGCTCTTACATCTTTGCTTAAAGCCCTGCTTTAAGGAGGAGCATTATCACAGGAGCACAATCAGTTATGCTCCTGTGATCAGATTTAGCCATTTCCAACATAAATCCAAGCTTCTCAGCAGCACCTCTATTATCTGACCTTACCTGACCCTCTGATGTCATTTATTACAAGTTTTTTATTTGTATTTAAGAGACATCAAACTGATCCCTTGGAAAATTCTGTGTTGAGACCAGAGCAATAATGCAGCAGGTAGGGCACTTGCCTTGTGTGCTGGGTCACAGAGATGCTCAATATGTTGGAGCACACTGTTTAATAGAAAAGGACCTCAGGGAGGTTGGGAGGACAGAATAAGTAGAAAGGATTGAGGAAGGCCTGAGAGATCGTACAGCTGGTAGGGCTCTTGCCTTACTCTTTATCAACTTGGGCTGATCCCAACAACCCATCTCCAGAAGTGATCCCAGGGTGCAGAGCCAGGAGTAAACCCCGGAGCACCAGAGGATGTGGCCCAAATTCCTTCAACTGAGAGATCCTCTTCTATGCTCATCTATAATGTCTCTTGTAGATAATGTTTCTTACAGTCCAAGACTTTGTTTTCCCGGTGCCTAAGGCTTGGGAGGTGCTCTTTCTGTTGTGCTGAATGAGTGAATTAATGGATTGTGTGTTATCACCACTCTTTCTCCCTAGGTCTCTTCTCAATTGCCACCTCCTCCTGGAAATTCTGTTTACTTATTTAGGTTTGGGGCCACCCCAGCAGTGCCCAGGGCTGACTCCTGGCTCTGTGCTCAGGAATCTTTCCTGGTGGGCCCAGGAACCACATGTGATGCCGATGTTTGAACTGGGTTTGATGTCGGTGGGCCCCACTGGTGACTTCTGTGAAGCAGGGAGGAGAAAGATGGTCACTTTCTCCCCATCCGCTTCTGCCGCTTGGGACCCAGGGAAATTCTTCACCTCACAGAGAAGAATTTCAGGAGTAGACAAGCAGTGAAGTGAAACAGATTTTATTTGGAGGTTTTTTGAAGGGAAGAAGAGAAAGTGGGAAAGAGTGGAGGGTTACGTGCTCAAGAGACAACCCAGGCTTCTCCAAGGGCGGAGAGAGCCCCTACACACGTCCCAGCATTAGACACGAAAGCATGAAAGTCCCCATCTCAAGAGGGGAGTTGTGGGCAACACATGTGCTCGGGCACCACATGTTCCACCATGTGGACTCGGGCACCATATGCACACCGTTCCTTTGTTCAAGGTGGCCTTTATAGGGTTTCTCCAACCTGCCCCCACTTGAGTTTCTACCTAGGTAAAAGTCTGTTGCTAAGGAGGTTACCACAGGGATTGGAAGTGGTGATGGTCTTCTTTGAAATTCCTTTCCTGGCCTTTTGTTTCTGCAGGAGCTTCCCTTGGTCTGTTGCTGTAAATAGGTGAGGGTCTTCTAAGGCCTTAGTTCCTGTTTCCTACAAAATGACCTTTGCAACTTCAGAGTTATTAATTCCCAAGAAATTTACTGCCATGGCTTGGAGAGGGAGCCTTCCCTATCTGCCTGCCTGCTGACATCATATTCAGCTGCCTGCAAAGCAAGCACCTGACCCCTGTACTTTCAGGCCCCAGTTTGTTAAAGATTTAGTCGACGTGTCAGGATTTCCCAGTAGCTTCCTCCACTCACTTCTTCTAATTCCCTTTTCAGGACTTTACAGCTTAGGGAAGGAGGTTCTGCTGGAGCGCTTGGCCTTCGAGTTCCAGACCTGGGTGGTACTGAGTCCTCAGCGCCTGGAGTTGGTCCAGCTACTGGGCCTGGCAGATGTGTTCACGGTGGAGGAGGAGGCTGGCCGCATCCATGCTGTGGACCATATGGAGATCTGCCACTCGGCCATGCTCTGCTGGAACCACATCCACCCGACCATCGCCATCCTGCCTACAAGCCGTAGGGTCCGCAGGTCACATCCTGACATCCACGTGATCCCGTACTCCGACCATTCCTCCTACTCAGAGCTGCGCACCTTCGTGGCAGCGCTGAGGCCCTGCCGGGTGGTGCCCATCGTGCAGCGGCAACCCTACCAGGACTGCTTTCAGGACAGCCTGAGCCCTGGGTTACCAGTGCCCCAGGTTCCCCGCTCTCTTCCACCACTCGTGAGCTCCTCACAGAAAGCAGACTTTCTCTGGTTCTGGTTAGAAAAGAGGCTGAAGAGACCAAGGACTCTGGGAGTCACATTTGAGTCCCTCGAGGAAGCTGCCAAGCAGTCTCAAGGTAGCAGCAACCCAGAGGAGGCCCAGGCTGCACATGAGACAGTTCCTGAGCACCTGGAGAAGCAGCTCTGCCTCTGCCCCGTGCAAATCCAGAAGCCAGTGTTCCCCAACTGCTGCATAAGAGAATGGAATGGGGTATCCCCTTTTTCCAAGTCCCAGAAAAGAGGTCCTGTACAGACTTCCCTCCAGAAGAGAAGCTCAATACAAATTTCCCCCTTTGTACGGGGTGTTTCAGAGCACTTAAGGTCTGCAGTCTCTCTGGAAACCAAAGAGTGCACTGATGAACCCCCCTTGGTACTCAAGGGAGACACAGATGCCCCCAAAGCCACAGGGAGTCAGAGTGCCTGCCCGGGGCTGAACTCTCACCTGTTTCACGATAACAAGGGGGACAGTATTCTGACTCCTGAGTCCCAAGGCCTGGCATTAAAGTATCTCCTGACTCCAGTGAGTGAATTCCAGGCAAGGTTCTCTTCCAGGCAGTTTGACCAGCAAGTGCAAAAGTACTATAAATGTTTGCCAAAGGATAGGTAGAAAGGACAGAATGGACACCTTTTTGGCCCAACACTGCACTTTGGGAAAGAGTAGCTGATGACCAATCGGTGGTTTTGTTGGGGACCTTACATTTCTGTCTTCACAAAATTCTCATGGGCTGGCCCCAACCCTCCATCCCCTAATACACTCAATATGACATCCTAGTGCTGTGGAATCCTCAGTGGCTTCCTGTGTTTAGGAGACACTTTTGGCATATCCTCTGCCCAGCATTCTCAAGCACAGAAAAGGTATAACATGCCCCAGGATGATCAAAGCTCTTGCTTGTGGGTGCCCTGGGCTCCATCCCTGGCACAGGGAAGGAAAGGGTAGAGGGCTGGGGCTGGGGTGTGGATCTGATACTGGCTGGAGATTTGGCCTGAGTAGCATATCACATACCATGCAGGAGGCTGGGGAGATCATTCAGAGGGTTAATACACCCATGCTCTGTGTGCTGGAGTGCCAGCTGTGATCCTGAGCACTGCACGCTCCCTTGAGCACCAGTGGGTGTGGTCCAAAGTAAATAAGCATTCTTGGCCGGTGCCTTGCCTTAGACTCAGTGTTCAGAGGGTGTGGCCCTTAGTACCACCCCCCCAAAAAATGGTTTCAATAAATTTGAAATAACAATCTGTTTAGCTATTTAACTCTATATATCATCAACTTTTGAATGTGCAGTTTGTGTATGTGTGTGTGTGGTGTTTAATTATTTTTCTCTCATAGACATACCAACCTTTTTCTTTTTTTCGGTCTTTTTTGGGTCACACCTGGCAGTGCCCAGGGGTTATTCCTGGCCCTGCTCTCAGGAATTACCCCTGGCGGTGCTCGGGGGACCAAATGGAATGCCAGGGGTCCAACCTGGTTGGACTGTGTGCAAGGCAAATGTCTTATCTGCTGTTGAGGCTCTAGCCCAACATACCAACTTTTTACTTGCTTGGTTACTGGTGCTAAGGGGAGGGAGTTTTAGGGAGATGGCATGGTTTGGTTTGGTTTGGTTTGGTGGTATCAGGAATCAGACTCAGGGCCTCGTGTGTGAGACATGCTTTCCCACTAATCGTTAGCTCCGGCCCCAGGCAGTCCTCTTACTTGGATAAAGGAAAGGTTAAGAGCCTGATTCAAAAAGAACCAAGTTCCCAGGTGTGCCAAGTGCCATTCCCCAAGTCCCTTCTCTCTTCACAGATTAAAGTCCCTAGGTAGTGCTGTTTTTAAAGTCAGAAACAAGGGGCTGGAGAAATAGTACAACAGGTAGGGCACTTGCCTTGCATGCATCCAACCCAGGTTCGATCCCCGACCTCCCATATGGTTCCCTGAGCACTGCCAAGAGTAATTCAGGAGAGCAGAGCCAGGAATAACCCCTAAGCATCACTGCATGTGCCCCCCCCCCAAAAAAAAAACAATGTTAGAAACGGGCTGGGGAAATGAGTTGAAGAGCCAAACTAAGTACACACATGCACAAACACACACCTTGCAGCACTGAGCAGCTGTGACCCAGAAACTACAACAAAACACAAAGTTAGGAACTGGCAACTGTGGTACTGAAGGCTAAATGGTAATCCAGGCAGCACATTCCAGATCCAGAATGTCAGAGTGACTTGCTGTGATCCCATCCAAGTGACTTCCTGTCTCTACCTCTGGAAGGGAACAGGAAGCCATGAAGAGCCTTGTAACAGTGAGAAAAATTCCACCACTTCCTCTGTGAGAGTTTGTAGTGTCACTGGGGACTTCTCTGTAACAGCCCACTGCGGGATTGGGCACTCCTCCCCAAGGCAGTACCTGGAACCCAAGTAGACATTCAGTCTCAGGATACCAGTGGCCCCCCAGCTGCCCAGAAGCCCTGACTTTTTGGGTGAAATACAGTTACTAAAGATCAAATGTGCTGCCAGACTGCCCGCTGTGCACATTGCTAAAATGCTTGCTGGGTCCCCTCTGGGTCTGACGGGGCTCCAGAGCTCACAGCCTGTTTGTGGCAGTGCCCAGGGCCAAGACCATCTGGGAGAAGGAGGGAGGGTTTGGTTCTGCCCTGTCCTTTCCTGCTCTCAGCCTAACAAAATGCCAAAGCAGTAAGCAAGGTCAGAGGGCGCCAGCATGGGGGATCAGACACACGGGTAAAAACTGCTTTCAAGTGGAGCCAGAGCCTTTGCAATAAAGCAGGCTCAGCTTGGGGGAGGAGGGGGCTTGGGGAGGGGTCATTCTATGCTTAGAGATGTGAATTTGTTTATTTTTGGGGGGGAGAGCCACAGCAGGTGGTGCTAAGGGCTTGCTCTTTTTTTGTTTGTTTTTGCTTTTTGGGTCACACCCAGCGATGCTCAGGGGTTTCTCCTAGCTTTGCACTCAGGAATTACTCATGGTGGTGCTTGGGGACCATATAGGATGCTGGGGATCGAACCCGGGTCAGCCACGTGCAAGGGAAACGCCCGACCAGTTGTACTATTGCTCCGGACCCAGGGGCTTACTCTTTATTCGGTTCTGAAACATCACCCCTGGTGGTATCCTGGAGGCCATATGGGGTGCTGGTATTCAAACCCTCATTGTAAGTGTGTAAGACAAGTGCCCTACCTGATTTACTATCTCTCTAACCACCAGATGTAAGTAGTGTAGGAAGCAAGATAAGGCCCGGCTCTAGGGAAAGTTGGACACAGGTCTGTTTCTCAGTAACTTTCCCTAGAAACCTCCAGTGGGCCCACAAGGAGCCCAGCCTCAAGAAGGCTTGTGGGCAGGGGAGAGAGATATCCTGCTGAATGCCTGGTCCCCGCTCCTAATGCATAAAGCACTCTGACGGCCCTGTCATCCCCACTGCCCTGGAGCTGACACGATGGCTAAGTTTCTAGTTCAGTGCCTGTCACATGGTGGGCATCTCAAATACTGATTTCTTAACTTGATTTTTTTTTTTTTTGGTTCATAGCCAGAGATGCTTAGGGGTTGATTAGTCCTGGCTCTGCACTGAGGAATTACTCCCGGTGTGCTTGGAGGGACATATGGGATGCCAGGATCAAACTAGTTCAGCCGCATGCAAGGCAAAGGCCTTACCCTCTGTACTGTCTCTCTAGCTTGATTCTTTAAAAAAAAAAAAAAATTCTGCGGCTGAGAAGATGACTCAAAGAGCTGCTGTGCATCTGGGAGGCCTGAGTTTGATCACTCGAGCACTACTAGGTGTGATTCATGCCCAGTATACACACAATCAAACGCTACTTGGGGCTGGGAAAATGCCCAGAGGATTGGAGCATAAGTTTTGCATGTGGGAGCTTTCAGTTCTTGATGCTGAATGTTTCCCCAAGCTCAACTGGGGAGCAACCCCCTAAGCACTATGCCTGAAGTAGCCCCAACCACTAACCCAAGACCCAGTAATACAGGTATTCTATATGTTAAATAGTAAACTTTGAAGTCATATATAAAAATTATTATAGCACTCCATATAGAGCAATTATATGTACAATTTTTTTAACTTGGGTAATTATATAGTTTAAAATTCTGCATTTTACTTAATATTTTAAGCATTTTGTCCTATCACTAAATATTATTCAAAATAATATGTATATTTTGTTTATTATGCATATGTATATGTTTTGGGTTTGGGGCCATACCAGGCAGTGTTCAGGGCTTACCAGGCTTTGCAGTCAAGGACCACTCCTGGTGGGGTTCAGAAGACCTTATAGGCTGCCGGGGTTGATGACATGCAAGACAAGTGCCTTAACCTCTGTATTATCTCTCTAGCCCCCAAAACAGCAATCTTAAGGGGCCAAGGAAACAGCTCAAAGGACTGTCTGACATACACAACGACCTGAGTTTGAGGTTTGGTATGGCACAACCTCCCTAGCACTCCTGGATGGAGCCCTCGTGGCCCCCAGCTGGGAACCATCCAAAGCAAAAACTATGTTTAGGGTCTGGAGAGATAGCACAGCGGGTAGGGCATTTGCCTTGCACACGGCCGACCTGGGTTCGATTCTCAGCATCCCAGATGGTTCCCTGAGCACCACCAGGAGTAACTCCTGAGTGCAGAGCCAGGAGTTACCCCTGTGCATCTCTAGATGTGACCCAAAAAGCAAAAAAATAAAATTATGTTTAATAGTTGTGTAATACCCTACTTGCTTTCTTGAAAGGGTTCCTTCCCCTCCTATTCACTGAAGGGTACTATATTAAAATAACCAAGATTCATTCCATTCAAATGGTCTCAAAATAGTATGCACACAAACCCAGCTCTTAGTAAATATTTACTAAAGTGTGAGCCAGGCTGAAGCTGATTTCTTGTAGGAGCCGCTGACATTTCAGTGCTGTGGACCGTGGCTGGCAGAGATAGGTGGCGTTCCGGGCTGGGGGGCCCTCTGATTGCTGTTATCTGTTAGCAGCCTGGGAATCGAGATGGCCCAGGCAGGGTCAAAGCCAAGGGCATGTTTTGCATATTGGGGGCATGTTTTGTCTTGTAATAATGGGAAAATTCCATACTAGTCTAAAGAACATGTGTCCAATTTCTAGAGGCGGGTTGCTAGTTTTCTGATTTAGTTTCTCCACACTCATAGAACAGTGCCACCTTGCATCTGTTTCTAAGAAATCAGTTTGTTTTTTGATACTAAGCATGACTCCAGAGATCTAGGAAGATCTTGCTTCTAGATGTGAAGGTGCTGGGAGAAAAGAAGCTCCCTAGGGATTAATTATTTATTTGTTTCATGATCGGTGGGAAAACATGTACTTTTCCACAAGGACACTGAAAGTGACTTAAATCCCTTTAGGGAAAAAATGTCTGCCTGGCAGACTTTGGGGACCATTTCTTACTCATGACCCAGACTGTCCTTTGCTCTAGGAAATAATCTGTTTCCTTTCTGTCCTGTCTCTCTACTCTTCTTCTCTCTCCTCCCTTCACTTCTCTACACCTCACAGTGTTAGGGAGCTACTCCTGGCTCTGTGCTTGGGGGCGGGTGTTAGCCTTGGGGAACCCTGGAAAGCTGGGAATTGGACACGGACTTCCTGCATGATTAAAATGAACTTCATTATTCTGAGAATTCCCAGAGCAAGTATACTTCTATAAGGGTGAGCAGAAAGATAGGATGAGGTGTTTTTGGAAAGAGCAGGGAAGCGCCACCAACCAGGAACAAAACAGCTCCTTGTGGCAGTGGCTGAGGGGAGTG